CATCCTTCTTGAACGTGTTGTTGACAAGTTCTGTCTCCGTCGCCCTCTTGCCGCTCGGATGCTGGTGGGCCTCGTCGAGCAGTTTCTTGGCGTCCTCTGGAAGTGCGTCGCGAATCTGGGTCGGCCTCCGCTGCTTCACCTGGTCCCGACTGTGAGGGGTGGCGGCAGCGGGCTTCTTTTTCGGGCTCTTCAGGCCCATGCGTGGCTTGCGGATACGTGTCGCTGAGGCGGCTGGCTTGCCAATACGCGTCGCTGAAGCGGCTGGCTTGCCGATGCGTGTCGCTCAGGCGGCTGGTTTTCCGGGAAGTGTTGGTTGGCCCTCATCTTCATCATCATCAGCTTCAGCTTCCACTCCCCCAGCCTCTGGGACCCCCTCCTCGGTTTCCTGGAGGTCCTCGAGCTTCACTGGTGTCAAAGCGTCGATCTGCGCTGCGGAAGCCTTGGCAGCCATCGCAGCAAGCACTGGTCAGGATATCACCGCGCGCTCGTCTCGAGCTCAGATGGCTACAGGTGTTACCAGTGTTGAACGGGTCAGTAGAGGTCCGCAGGGGTCCATCAGGGGGCCGTAGGGGCGTGCCTGTCGTACTAAATCTGCTCAACTCCTGTTGGGAAACGCACTAAATTTGGAATTGACATGAGACCGAAAAGTTGAGTTTAGGTTGAGTCTAAACCCAAACTCAACTTCGACCCACCAAACTCAACCCAACCTCAACTTTTCAACGCTTAAAAGTTTTGTTTAGGTTTAAACTCAACCCATCATGCCGTTATCAGTTCGCAGATAAATCCGAACAATTATTGCATCGATTTTGAATCGTGGGATGTAGGACGAGGACTGTAAGATGAGGCCCGAGGACTGTAGGATGAGAACTGTAGGAAGAGGCCCGGGGGACGAGGACAGCTGTTTTTCTAGGAGCCATGCAAGGGGTGAGGAGCGCCCTTAGCATCTAGGGCCGGCTCCGCGCCCCGGGCAGTACAATCGCCTGCGATCATAGCGACGAGGGCAGCGCCGCGAGCCAGGAGCTCGTCAGGCGACATGTGCTCGGGAATGTTCGCCTCGACCTGCCTCGCACACCCCATGACCTCGGTTTTGCTGAGTTTGGTGCCCTGCCCGTCAGCGTTGATGTGCTGCTCGATGTCCTTGATGGTCTGCTCGTCAGCGTTGATGTGCTGCTCGGTTCACTGCTCGTCAGCGTTGATGTGCTGCTCGTCATCGTTGCCCTTGATGGTCTGTTTGATGTGCTGCTCGATGCCCTTGCTCTTCTTCAAAAGCGGCGGGTGCGAGGAAGACAATGGGGCGGCTGGCGTCCGGACGGCGGCGGCGGCCGCGCGTTTCAGCACCATGTTCTTCGGCCACGAACCTGGGGCAACTCTAGGATGCTGAGGAGCAGGCGCAGGAACAGGCGGAGCAGGAGCGGGATCCTGGGTCCCAGGACGTTTGGGGATCCTCGCCAAAGAAATCGGAATCTTCGAGTCGCCGCCAATCTCTGGCCATACTGAGCCGTCCAACTCCAGGGCGCACTGGGCGTACACAGGCTTCTCAAACTGCACGAAAGCAACGCACTTCATGGCATTCGCGAGAGCTCTTTTACGAACGAAATGAACCTGGCAGATCTGACTGCAGCCCTCGGCCTCCAATCTCGATCGAATCATACCTTGCGTACATATGTCATCGATTTGCCCAAGAAACATTTGGTTGATATCAACATGTGAGTTATCGCGTGAACTCGGCGAGGGCATAGCTTCTCTTTGGAGCCATTGAACCGCTACGGAGACAAGCTTGAAATCCCTGGTCGAGGGTGGGCTCGACGGGACGTGGGGGAGAGGCGTGCGAGGTTGATTGGTATTTAGACGTGGACTATAGTAAGTCGCACATTGTTTACATGAGCATCTGATGACAAATTTCATGCAATGCACAAGTGTACCATATCTACACATATAACGCCAACATAATGCACATGAACGTTCAAAGCGCACGTGGGCAAGTCAGTCACATTTATATTAGGGCTAGGGCTGTGATGCTTAGATTCAGGCGTGTGATAAATAAGTCGCATCCAGCTTCAGATGGTCATATAGTTATTATGTAATTATGTATATGTGCACAAATTTATTAAGACGAATTTACCTTACACATTCAAACGCTCGGGGCCCAAACCACGCATTGAACTCTCAGGACGAGGGGGAGGGAGGTCGAAGAGAGGAGGGATGCTTTGCACCGCAATTTGCATTGTGAGCGTGCGAACTTCATGTAATCTCAACCGCTCCGTACTGGCTGACTAAACGCAGCTGCGAATTCTAGAGAGAAGTGGGCCTACCCCCGCGCAGGCCTGCTCTAGCCCAAACGACGCCCGATGCGCAACGCGCAAGCCTGCTCTAGCCGCGAGGCGCTAACGCAGCCCTCTTGGCCTTGCAGTCAGAGCAATAGCCGAACCACAGATCCGTCGGGCAGTAGATACCCTCATCCTTGAAGCGCTGCTGCTCCTCCACGCTCTCTGGCTTGTTGTTAGGGCGCTCCGTGGCGGCGACCTTTATGGGGCGTGACCTTCGACTTTATGGGCGTCACCTTCTTTGCCGTCTCCGCGGGCGTGACCTTCTGGGCCGTGTTCATGGGCGTGACCTTCGTGGCCGTCTTCATGGTCGTCATGACCTTCCTCTTCCCTGGCGGCCTGGCAGGGTCCAAGTCCTGGACGTGGCGCAACATATCCCAATCATCGCCAGAGATACCCATGGACTGCATCAACGGGGGCCCAAACTCATAGAGAAGCTGCCCCACCACCGAAGCACTCGGCTGGCCGCTGTCCTCCGAGCTTGACCCAGTCTCCATGTCACCTGCGAGACTCTTGAAGACGCTCGGGAGGTTCACGTCGCCCACCTTGGGACCTGGGCTCCTGCCTCTATTGGCAAGCGCACTGGTTGCAGTTGCTCTCCTCGGCGTCCTCGGGGCGCCTCCGCCACCCAACCCCAGCACGTCTGCCGACTGGGAGCGAAGAACTTCACCGCGACCCTGCCCACGCGACCGCGGCCCTGGCGGGGCCGACTGGGAGCGGGGAAGGGCTTCCGCCGCCTCTTCCACGTCGGTCCGCACCATCTCCAGCATCACAGTGATGCCATCCGCCTCCGCCACGCCTGCCTTCTGGAAGCAACGGCGACGGACCTCGGCGACATGTTTCACATCCCTGAGGTTCGACATCATGATACGAATCATCGTAGACACTGAGGCGGCGCAAAGCTGTTGCGCCTTGCTCGAGAAACTTGCCTTCTTATCATCATCAATCGATGTCAAGGCTTTCTCGAGCGTAGAGGCCGGGGGCACAGCCGTTCTTGCATGCAGCCAGGAGGCGCATGAGCAGTGGCTTGACGAAGAGCAACAGATCAGGGCGCGGAGCCATTTTCCACGTGAGGCTGGCCTGGGCGATCGGCTCGAGGAACCTATAGATGTCTCTGTTATCGTTGCGATCCTCCCTGATGAATCTTTCGATGCATGTCTGCAGGTCGCCCACAGGAATCAATGGGTTAGGATGGCGCCGAGTCGGCGGGCGGGCGCATCACCCTCGGCAGTCGGCTCCTCGGTCGATCACCTGCCAGCAGCTATCGAGACAGGGAGCTGGCACAGAGAGCACAAAGCCAATGTGCGATAGCCAACTGGGAATGCAAGATCGCGAGAAACCACAACTTTTGAAACAAGGGCCCAAATCGGCTACGGAAGAGGCTGGAGAAGAGGATGTTTTTGTATATACGCGATCCCTGGACTCGAGCTTGTATCCAGAGCACGAGGGTTTAGTTTGGGTTGAAACTAGACCCAAACTAGAAACTGTAAGGACTGGGAGGAGAGGCGGAGAAGAGGATAATGTTGATGATAATCCATGCACACCTGGGTGGTTGTTGATATGTAAGCGATCCCGAAGCCTGACTGTTTATCCAAACCGTGTGGGTTGAGTTTGGCATCACATTGAATCAAAACTAAGCTTCCAGTATTCTCGATATGAGAGCAACTTCGAAGGACTTGGACATGCACTTCAACCAAACACGAAAAGAGCCGGCTCTGAACACCCACTCCAAATTGCAAACTGTGAATACAACGCAGCGAAACCGGAGAACCATGTGAACAAGCATATGTTAGAATCTCGGAGTGGACGTCCAGAGCTGGTGGACTAGTCACCAAACCTTTTCCTGCCCATCGACCTTCCTGGGAGTTCAGTTTGGGTTCCGTTGCAACCCAAATTCAACCGACACGTTTTGGTTAAAACCTGATCCTGCATCCGTTATGCCCTTCACCTCTCATTCTACCCTGCTGTACCAAGTTCTATTTCCCTCACCTCTTCATCAAAATACGTGCTGATAATTCTCATATTCCCTCAAGGCTGCAGTCGACTAGCAGTAGAGTGCCTACTTAGGTTAGGGCACGAAGCGAATAGGCAGGGCCACGCTATCGAGCTCGACGTTGACCGTTAACTCATCACCACGTTCCAGAGGGTTGTACAGCACATCACAATAAACTCGCTAGATTTAACGTAAGCCTACACCGATGACAAACACCAGCCCATACATCCTAACACCATAAACCAACGTTATATGGCTCAGGCCCACAAGGAATCATACACGCACATACATGGAATCAACACCCTTGTCAACAACATAACCTAGCCGAACCTAACCAATAACCTAGCCTTAAAAGAGCCTAACCTAACAAACAACCTAATACAATGTTTAACCTAACTGATCGTCTAGATATTAGTTTAATCATCAGGGTAATGCGGTAATGCTTAGGTTATTTATGAGGCTTAGGCTAAACATGAGGGTAACAGGTAGTCTAAGTATGAGTTTATTTCGGTACTCTAGATTAAACAAACTAATTGAATTTACCCCTCGTAGACTAGATTCGACGAATTAGTCTAGACTAGCCGACTGGTTAGTTTTAGTCTAATGCCGTCTTATGGGAGGTGGCCCAGGCCTTGGCCCGCGCCGCGGCTCAGCGCGTTCAGTTTCCGCCGTTGCCCGCGCAGGCCCGGCGCGCGCTGCCCGCCACGGTTGGCGGCGTCCGGACTGTTACTTCTACGTCTCCTACATCGTCGGATGGTCGGGCAGCCCCGGGTGTGACGGGCGGCTCGCGCCAGGACCCGCCTGGGCGCGCCTCTTCCTCCTTCTTCCTCGCCCCGCGCGCGCGCGGGTAGGCGCACCAGACTCAGGGAGGTGCGGGCGCTCCTCCTCCTCCTCCTCCTCCTCCTTCTCCTCCTCCTCCCACCTCCTCCCACCTCCTCTTTCTGCTCCCTGGACGTCTTGATTTTTCATGGCCTCGTCTCTGGGCCTCGCGCCGCGAGCGCTCTTCTCGGATGGCCCCAGGGGCCCTGGGTGCCCCGCATCCTCTCCCAGAGCAGAGGGCCTCGCTCGTGAAGACCAGCGGTGCCCCGACTGCGCTGGGGCGCTGGAGGCCCCAGGAGGCCCCAAGGACGGCCCAACCCGAGGAAAAAACCCGCCAACCAGAGGCCCCCCCCAGCCACCTCGGCCCTCAAAGGGGCGGGGGATGGCGCCACCAAAGGCGGGGAGGGTGGCGGGCTTCGCTCCCATCTCGAAACACGGGCCTCGGAAGGGCCTGTGAGGCCCCCGCAGACGGCCCCAGAATGCACCCAGCACTGCCGCAAACCAGCCTCAACGATCCCCTGCGGCAGCCTGAAGCGGGCACACCTTTTTCCTTGCTCCCTGCAGTTGCGCGCCTTCCCACAAGCTGGAGAGCGCAACAGTGCCCACGCCGGCAGAAGCTCCGGCACTTGGGCAGCGCAGCCATCTGAGAAGGGCGCCTTCCTCGCCCAGGAGCGAGCGATAATAAGAATCAGGATGAGGGATGGAGTGGGGATGGGTGAGGGATCGGGGATGATGATGATGATGATGATGAGGAGGAGGAGGAGGAGGAGGAGCATGGATGGGGGACGAGGAGGATGGATAAGGGGAAGGAGGAGGAAGAGGACCAGAGCAAACCCAGGAAGTATCAGCGAGCGCTGCAACACGCCCTCACGTCCCACATCCCCTACCTTACCAGTCCCTAGAAGCCGTTCATGCGCCTCCTTGAAATACGAGCGTCCTATGTGCCTGCCAACCAGGCGAGAGCCACGTTTTGAGAGGGAAATGCCTTGTATCGTGCTTGTGGGTTCTGAGGGATGCGAACAGGTAGGATCATGAAGGTTGACGGTGTGGCCAGCGAGAGCCCCGTTTTGAAGAGGGACCGCCCCCCCCTTATCCGCGCAACTAGTGCGCAAGCTTACATTTCTGGTAGCTACATGTTTGGAGGTCTAAAGCGTGAGCCCCGGTTGGGAAAGGAACCGAGCTCCATCCGTGCAGTTCTTTCGTCTGTTCAATCCTACGGTCTTTAAGCGGAAAAAGGGGAATTCTCAAGCGAGAGCCACATGTTGAAAAGGAGCCGCCCTCAATCCTTGCAGTTGTAGCGAACGTGTAGGACGAATGTGCGCGGTGCTTAGGCGAGAGCCCCATTTTGGACAGGAGCCGCCCTTTATCCGTGCAACTGCCACAAACTGGTAAGACGAATGTGCGAGGCGCGAAGGCGGCGGCCCCATTTTTAGCAGGAGCCACCTTCCACCCGTGTAGCTGCTGCAAGTTGTCAAGACGAATCTGCGTGGCGCCAGGACGATCTATCCGTTTTGAGACCACCCCTCATCCTCGTAACTGTTGCAAACTGATCAAGCTGCCTGCGGTAAGCCCCGCCATTGTGCTTGTGCAACGGCGCAGCAGGAAGGATATTGAGTGTAGGAATAGCGCAGATTCGACAACTGGTCTGACCTGCGACGGCTCTTGAGCTCGACCGCATTTCCGTTCGCGCGGCAGGGGGTAGGTCGAGTTCACGCCCTGCTGCAAGTCAGCGACCGGTCTGAACTAGGGCGGGTCGTGAACTCGGCATCATCGTTTAAACGGCACAGCTCACAGAAAACACAAAACATGTCGAGTCGGCCCTGCTGGGCCATTCGACGCTCGCGGGGAAGAACGGACCCGCAGACCCCAAAAAGACAGAGGAGCGGAGCACATTTTTTCCTGCGGACAGCTCGGCGGCGGCGTGCGCCGTCCTTGGCGCCAGCGCCCGGGCCCCTGTGGCCTCTGGCGTTGGCCAGTGTGGCAGCGGAGAGCGCCTGCTCCCTCCACCTCATTCGTTTAGAGCTGGGCGCGGGCTCACGGACACCCCTCCGCGCCAGGGCCGGCGCCCAGCGGCGGCGGTGGGGATGGCGCCTGGCTGTGCCCCTGGCGTCAGCCGGCGCTGCAGCCGCGGGCCCCTCCGGCCCTGCTGCACTAGATGTCCAGCGCTGGCTATAGATTCCCTACCCTCCTCCCTCGGCAGCGGCTGGCCCTGAGGCAGCGGGGGTGGCGGCGGCAGGGTCTGGCGCCGAGCGGCACCAGGTTGTGCCGCCACCGCTGACGCTGCAACCGCGGGCCCCTCAGGCCCCGCTCCTTTAGGTGCCCAGCTTTGGCTGATAGGCATCCAACACTCCTTCCACGGCGGCGGCGCCCCCGGCGGCGGCGCCAGCGGCCAGGTGGCCACCTCCAACGGCGCGGCCCCAGCGCCCTCTTCCTCGAAACGGACGCCCCTCCTTTTTATTGTCATGGCTATGCGGGTTTCCTCGTTCGCCGTGGGGGCGCTGGGGCTGGCGAGTTCTGACGGACCTGGGGGGCGCAGGAACTACGCGTCCTTCCCCCCTTGTCCCCACCGCTCCCCTGGCGGGAGCGAGCAGTGGCCGTCCTGCTCCCCCACCCCTCGGGCCCGCTCCGAGGTTTGCTCCTGTCATCCCCTGGCGCGGCTTGCCTCGACGTCTTGCGCCCCAAGCCGGTCCGCTTTCGTCAGGCGGTAACCGATGCGCAGCGAGGTCGTATCTCCTGCCATGCCAGCGGCCATGCCGTTGTACCCTCGTTCGCCTCCCATACATAAATTCTTCACGCTTCGCGTATCCCCACCAGCCCATCTCAAAACAGCAACTCTTGCGAAGCATGCCGACAGTCGTGTTTTTCAGGCGTGTGTCCGCTTGCCCCCGCATATCTCCCCTGTTCCTCCTTCCTCCCGCCTCCTTGTACATCCTCCTTGTGGTGGGAGCGGGAGAAGGACGAGGCGGAGGAGGAGGGAGAGAAAGCGGTGGGAGGCAAGAGGGATTTAGCGGAGACGACGACCACAGCGATGATCCTAACAACGACGACGCACCCGACGACGACGACGATATCGACCGCAACGACGACGACGACCACAACCGCGACGACGACGACGACGACGACGACGACGACGACGTCGACGACGACGACGACGAAGGCGGCGGCGACGACGACGACGACGACGACGACGACGACGACGACGACGACTGGTGGGAGTCGTTGGGGCCCCTCGTGGTGTGAGTCGTTCGGCCCCATCGTCCTTGTGTGAGTCCTTCGGGCCCCTCTTCCTGGTGTGAGTCGTTCGGGCTCCTCGTGGTGTGAGTCGTTCGGGCCCCTCGTCCTGGTGTGAGCCGTTCGGGCCCTTCTCGTGGTTGAGTCGTTCGGGCCTCTCGTCCTGGTGTGAGTCGTTCGGGCCCTTCTTCCTGGTGTGAGTCGTTCGGGCTCTTCGTGGTGTGAGTCGTTCGGGCTCTTCGTCCTGGTGTGAGTCGTTCGGGCTTCTCGTGGTGTGAGTTGTTCGGGCCCCTCGTCCTGGTGTGAGTCGTTCGGGCCCCTCCTCCTGGTGTGACTCGTTCGGGCTCCTCGTGGTGTGAGTCGTTCGGGGCCCGCGTCGTGGTGTGAGTCGTTCGGGCTCCTCGTGGTGTGAGTCGTTCGGGCGCCTCGTCCTGGTGTGAGTCGTTCGGGCCCCTCCTTGTGGTGTGAGTCGTTCGGGCTCTTCGTGGTGTGAGTCGTTCGGGCCCCTCGTCCTGGTGTGAGTCGTTCGGGCTCCTCGTGGTGTGAGTCGTTCGGGCGTCTCATCCTGGTGCGAGTCGTTCGGGCCCCTCGTAGTAGGAGTAGTAGTAGTAGTAGTAGTAGTAGTAGTAGTAGCAGATGAAGTAATATTAGTAGTAATAATAGTAGTAGCAGTAGCAGTAGTAGTTGTAGTAGTACTAGTAGCAGTAGCAGTGGCACTAGCAGTAGCAGTAGCAGTAGCAGTAGCCGTCGCAGTATAATTAGTAGTGGTAGTAGTAGTAGTAGTAGTAGTAGTAGCAGTAGTAGCAGTAGTAGCAGTAGTAGTAGTAGTAGTAGTAGTAGTAGTAGTAGTAGTACTCGAAGCAGTAGGGGTAATAGCACTAGCAGTAGCAGTACCAGTAGCAGTAGCAGTAGCAGTAGCAGTAGCCGTCGTAGTAGACTTAGTAGTGGTAGTAGTAGTCGCAGTAGTAGCAGTAGTAGCAGTAGTAGCAGTAGTAGTAGTAGTAGTAGTAGTAGTAGTAGTAGTAGTACTAGTAGTAGTAGTAGTAGTAGTAGTAGTAGTAGTAGTAGTAGTAGTAGTAGTAGTAGTAGTAGTAGTAGTAGTAGTAGTAGTAGTAGTAGTGGTATTACCAGTATCAGCGGTAGTCGCAAACGTAGTCGTCAACGTCGTCGTCGCAGTAGTTGTCTCAGTAGCAGTAGCAGTCACTAGAGCAGTGGTCTATATGTAGTAGTAGTAGTAGTAGTAGTAGTAGTAGTAGTAGTAGTAGTAGTAGTAGTAGTAGTAGTAGTAGTAGTAGTAGTAGTAGTAGTAGTAGTAGTAGTAGTAGTAGTAGTAGTAGTAGTAGTAGTAGTAGTAGTAGTAGTAGTAGTAGTAGTAGTAGTAGTAGTAGTAGTAGCAGTAGTAGTGATGGTAGTCTTAGTAGTAGTAGTGGTAGTAGTCGTGGTAGTAGCAGTAATAGGACTAGTAGTAATAGTAGAAGTAGTAGTCTTAGTACTAATAGCAGCAGTAGTAGTAGTCCCAGTAGTAATAGTAGCAGTAGTACTAGTAGCAGTGGTAGTGGTAGTAGTAGTAGTAGCAGTAGTAGTAGTAGTAGTAGTAGTAGTAGTAGTAGTAGTAGTAGTAGTAGTAGTAGTAGTAGTAGTAGTAGTAGTAGTAGTAGTAGTAGTAGTAGTAGTAGTAGTAGTAGTAGTAGTAGTAGTAGTAGTAGTAGTAGTAGTAGTAGTAGTAGTAGTAGTAGTAGTAGTAGTAGTAGTAGTAGTAGTAGTAGTAGTAGTAGTAGTAGTAGTAGTAGTAGTAGTAGTAGTAGTAGTAGTAGTAGTAGTAGTAGTAGTAGTAGTAGTAGTAGTAGTAGTAGAGTATATTTTGGGAGCCTCTTGGAAGCCTTTTGGGGCGTCTTGGGGGCCTCTTGGCGGCCCCAGGGGCTTCTAGGAGCGTCTTGGGTGCCTTGGGGGAGCCTCTTCGGGCCTCCTGGGAGCCTCTTGGAGGCCGTTTGGGGCGTCTTGGGGGCCTCTTGGCGGCTCCAGGGGCTTCCAGGAGCGTCTTGGGTGCCTCGGGGGAGCCTCTTGGGGCCTCTTGGGGACCTCTTGGGGGCATCTTGGGGGCCTCTTGGAGGCCTCTGGGGC